CGACAACAACGGTGCTTCTCGCCGCGTCGCGCCGGAGGAGAACAACCTCCTTAGAACCGGGCCAGAGCACGGGACGAGAAGGAAGAGAACGCATGGCCGATTCCGCGGACTCGCGTGCTGACCTCGCGCTTGTAATATTTGACCTATCCGTGTCCGGCGCGAGTCGTTCCATAATCCCAGAGGTGTCCCCATTGAAAACGGGACTGCGCCGACAATCTCGGCGCTCGGCGTCAATACGTAACGTCCGGCAAGCGGCAAGTCACACACCGCACGGCAAATGTCGCAAGGCCGTTCGTCGACTTGTCCGCTCTGAGCAATATCGAGACGTGCCTTTCGCGGTAGAGCGACTAGCTTTCCGCGTGGAATACACGATGACTAAGATGAAACGCAAATCAAGAGGAAAAGTTGCCATCTCAGCAATTTTTCATCAATCATTTTATTTATAAAACAATTTGCTTTGAAGTGACAATCAGTTTAAACACGTCGATACTTTTATTCGAAAGAAATTTAAAAAATTCTATTTTTGATCAATTCCGACTAATTGAAAAAAAAACTTTGTCATTATTTCGAATAATTTTCGAAAAAAACACTGTGTGTCACCATTCTATAATAATTATCTTTTATTTCATTTGAAAGCTACAATTAGAAGATAATGTCAAAAAGTAAGTTTTACGTATGTAAGCTCTGCACAATTTTAAGACGTTTTTTGAAGTACTAGCACAACACAAGCGCGCGCTACGCGCACGCTGTTAGTGTTTTTATTTTAACGTGTTGTGCCAGTAAACACAACCTGTCAACACGATGATAGCTAGTATATATGTCTTACAAACTAAATAATACACATGATGTACATATGAGAGATGTCTTAAATAACGCATGAAAATCAAACTCGAAAACTAGAAAGAAGGGAGGAGTGAAAAAACAACACGTGACTAAAGTCACGTGATTGTATTTTAATCACGTGTCTTTAAAAACGTGACTGAAATAAGGTCACGTGACAAGAAAAAGAGTAAAAAAAAGAATACTGTATATATATTGGACCGGTATATAGATATATAATAGTATATATATATATATATATAGTATATATATATATATATATTATATTATATGTATATATATACCGTAATCACATGATCAAGGTCAGTGACCTTATCGTAGTATATATATATAATACATATAATACAATATAAAAAGTATAATATTATAAATATATAATAAATTTTATTATATATATAATATATATTATATTATATTATATGTAATATTAATATGTAATATATATATATTTTATTATAGTGGTGTTTTTTCTTTTTTTCCTGTCACGTGACTTTAAAGAAACGCAAGAATACTTTGGTTTTTAGTGTTTTGTTCTGATGCGATTGAGACTAAAATGAAAGTGATCGGTTCAGTCATTCTTGAGATATTGATTCATGAAAATCTCTTCGCTTCTCAATCGCATGAATTTCGCGTATAAGAAACACTACCGTGCGTCTTGATATGTATGCGACATGAATCGAGAAACACATCTTAGAAACGTCCAATCAGCGTTGAGATAAAAGTGGCAACAATCAATATCGAGAGAATCGATTCTGATTATTTGCACACGCTTTTTCTGGTAGGATTACTTAATTATCAGATGCATGTCACTTCGCGTTGTTACATTGCGTTGGCTGAAATTTTCAACCTGATGCTAAGTGCAGCCTACGCGTTGTCTTAGAATACGATATGTTTTGCCTTCACAACGAGGAAATGAGTCGCATCTTTCTCGATTTTAATTAGGCAATTTCTACACTACGAGTTAAGTGGTTTGTACCGTCACGTTGTTTGGTTGTGTGAGGATGACGCAATGTCCGAATGACAAATTTGTTGACAAATTGTTAATTGTTTGTACAAACACCTCGAATCCTCGAGCGTAATATAATTTCTATTAATAGACAGCGACTTCGCGTCAAACGCACAATAATCGCATTCAGATGATACCAAATTATCGACAAATTTTTTCTGCGAGTGAATCGGCGTTGCGTCATTCGAATTTGGAGAATCACCGCAGCAATCAATATTCATCATTATACTGAGAAGTTTGACGAAGACATCGATCAAAGTTTCACGTATTGCAATCGATCGAGACCGTATTGTGTGTTCAATCGCGATTCTTTCTTCTCTTCAAGGTTCTCATCGTTCATGCTCACATCTTGGTGTGAGGAGGTGAGCCGCGATGTCTGACAAGAGTATCGAGACAGTTGAGGGAAGAAACGATCTTGCCGTACGGCGGTGGTCGAGGGAGAAAGTGTAACCGATCCCGAGAGCTCGAAATCGAAAGTAATTTCCTCGGTCTCGCTCTTTCTCCGCCTCCTTTCTCCTTTCTACGGGAGCCCACGATCATTCTTTCTCCCTGGCCGAGATTCAGGTCAAGTTCACGGTCTTGTACTCGACAGTGTCTTTCTCTCTTTCTCATTTCACTTTCTCCCATCTCGTCACCCTCTCTGCGCCCGTTTTCTCTCTCTCTCTCTCTCTCTCTCTCTCTCTCTCACTTTCTCTCTTTCGTGACGTACCACTCAATCTTTGCTCTCTCTGACACTTATGCAAGAGACATTACACCATCGGTGCCGCAATTTCATTCCGTGACTCCTGCTTTCCGTTCGAACGCGGTCCCAACGAGTTATTATGTCAGTGTCAATGGCACCAATCCCTCCGTGAGAGAAAAAGACCCCGGACAGTTAGCGGGGGGGTACCAGTTACGTCGTGCACGCGGTTCGCTGAACCGAATTCCCCTCCCTCAGGCTGCGATGAGCCAAGGTGAACCAAGGTGAACGTCGAGGTGGATACATCGTCTCGGGTATCTCTCGCGAGCACAAGAGGCTCGGCGGCCGGTGCTTTACGGCTGGCTCTTCTCTCTGCTCGATGAACTTCTCTCCGTCGTAAATATGAACGATGCACAGTACGAATGTACATATACGGCCGGCGGGCAGAAGAACCGGCGGAGAGGGAACGGTGTCGGCTGACTTCCTGGACGTTGCAAAGGTTTATCGGCAAACGCTGACAATTAATGACCCGGTCGTTGGGAGGACTCTCTCGTGATTTTTTCAGAGAAAACGTATGACACAGGGGTGAGAGAAGCGCACAATCAATTTTGAGAATGAACAGGCATCTGTACGTCAAGTTATCTACCCGGGAACATGCGAATTATATTAATGAACCAAACAGCTAATTAAAACCCCAAACTTCATTGTAAATTGTTTATTACGCAGCTCCTATCAGATAATGTCTTGTGGAAAAATATTGTGCTGCACACAATATTTTGCACTAAACAATGATACTGCATTAAAATACTGTGCGCATACTAAGTCGTTAATGCAATAAGTACTGCAGCAAAGTAGCTCTTTGAAATTCTTCAAATGGAAACCGATACGATGGCATCTTCGGTGCCGTTAGGATATTTTGCATAATAATGTGCGTGTGTGTCAATCTCACTCCTCGTACAACAAACGGGCCATCAGTTTGCAATTAAACGGTTACATGTTATAAAGTGTTTTTCTATATACGCGTATTCTTCTCTAATCAATCTCGATGAGATCATCGTTAAATCGGTCCTTTTGTAAAACGCGATCCTACGGAATTCGTCGACCTTCACGCGGTCGATTAATAACCACGAGATATAAAGAGTCGGTAGAGGAAGCGATATTATTCGGAGGACTAACGTTACTTCGTGTAGTGGATCACAACGTATATCCTGTATGTGCAAACTAGAATAGATAGAAAAAAAAAAAAATATCCCGTCTCACAATGCGAATGAATGGAGATAGAAAAGATTTCTTGTCTCGAGAACCTTTTCTCGGAACGATCGGAGAACTGCGGACTTTTGGTCCGCCGCAAGCTTACCCGTCGCGTGTGTTCATCGATGTAAAGAATCGATAGTGAGTCAGCGGATTGAATTTTTAATGGCATTGACCAACACGCGCTTACGTCGAATTCTCGGATAGATCTTAACAAAATTCCGAAGTAAATGTTTCTCGGTAAAATAATCGCGCGAGAATAATGAAAAACTTATCTTCTTGAATATCTATCGAAATTCTTCAAACTCTCTGAGTAACGATAAAAAAAAAAAAAAAAAAAAA